CAATGAAAGTTTGAACAACAACTAAAGAGAGAAATAATGAATTTAGTTATATTACACTTACGAGACTTCAAAAATAAAAATCAATATTTTTTTTTCTATAAAACCTAACAAAATACAAAACTAAATATTTATCCACTATTATGAGCCTTCTTGATTTCTTTTCTAGCGATCCATCTCCATTTCAATGGTCTGAACGCCTTAAATACCAAAAAGAAGAAAGCACCCAAGAATCTAAACGCCGCCAATGCAGCAACAATCCATAAAATGATTGTCAAAAACGTACGTGAATTACCACTAATAGATCCATCAGCATTCACTTCGGTACCGTTTGTAAAAGTAGTCACCCCACCTGTTTCCAAAACAAACGCAATCAAAATCGCATTTGTCAACATCCAAACCAAGACAGTCATGGTACGTACAAAGGCATAATATGCATCATCCTTAATATTCTTCTTTTTTGGTTGAGGTACCTCGGGTTCCATAGCACGTAATGTTTCCAAAGTGTCCAAATATGATTCATTAACTTCTTGTTCTACTCCAGGAGCAATCATAATCAATTCATCAGAATCTTTACTCACCGATTTGGCCGATCCTAAATCTTTAGCTTGTTCTACTCCTTTAGTACCCCAAGAAACATCATGGATATTACAGAAGGCATAGATGTTAAGCACGTTGATATAGGTGGGTGATAATAACACATATTGGGCGAAGGAAGTGAACATGAAACTAGGTTCTCCAAACATAATTGCCCCGGCAAAATATAATAAATAAATCGATGCAGTGGAAACAATCAAATCCCGGAATTTCTCATTGGTGAAGATTAATGAGATGGTGAAATCATCTTTATGTTCGTCGATAATGGATGTGGCGGTATGGACGGCTAAGAAAATAGCGGCAAACATCATATATGCCATCAAAACGGCAAAGAAACAGGCAATGACTAGATAGAATTTCTTGGTACCTCTAGGAGTATTACCGAATGCTAACACGAATGTACAAACCACTGAACCAACATAGAACCATAGGAAAATAACGGCTAAATATTTCCCGATTTCGAAATGCATTTCAGTAGAACCTAAATTTGCAGTCAAGATTCTAAACACCAAAAAGAATGAAGCTAATGAAAACCAAGAAACTAAAATCGTGGTTAATTGATAATAAAATTCTAATTGTAACATTAATTTCCTAAATAATCCATGATCAGATTTCCAAATTTTAGTCCAATGGAAAACAGCATATGCGGCAGCAAACATTGACCCATTAAGCCATCTTCTTCTTTGTAATACGAATTCATCAATTCTTTCCGGGACATCAGTTTCAGCTTTTGCTTCATTAACATATCTCAATACATATCGATGACGTTTCTTGGCTACTAATTCAAAACATAAAATTCTATCTTCGGCCAAATACATATTTGATGTGAAAATCCCGGCTTCTTGATAATTACGTTCCTTAATCTCTCTTTCATCATCTTCTTCTTCATCTCCATCAGGATTAGTAAATCCATGAAGAAATTCACCCTTGAAATATTTCTCTAGTGGACCTTTACCGTTCACATTCAATAATGCTTCATATCTATATGCCGAAAACGCCCCCGGTAACACCGAAATAAATCCAAATGCCGATTCCATAGGTTTATCCAAAACATTAGAAATCTTATATTCGAAATTTTGTGCTGCTACTAAAGGATTAGCTAATAATTTTTTTCCTGGACCTAATGCTGCTCTCATTTCCCCACAAGCACCAGCCACATTTGGATCTCTAAATGCCCTCCATAAATAATAAAAAGCATCTTTGGAAGGTTTGGTACCACAATCTAATAACATGATAACTCTTGGTTGTAAAATGGGGGCAAATGCTTGAAAGCACCAACGATGAGAATTAATCTTACGACTATTCTTTTCTTTCAAACAGAAGATGAATTGAACTGGGTTTGAATTTGGACCAATATGGACTTTTTCATTCACAACATCAATCCCGACTGTGGAAGTATATTCGTATATATGGGCTTTGACTGATTTATCATTAATTTTGGATTTAGCATACCCATCTTGGAAAAGTCCCAATGCACGAAGTAAAGTTTCTGTACGTTTATTTAATTCCAATCTACCATCATTAACAATACAGACCACGATTTTTTTCCACGATTCTTCACCCCAAGCCGGATCAGCTCTCCGTGAAAGATTTTTAATATTTTCAAAAACACCAAAAAGAGTACGGGCTAACAATATTTCATCTTCATTATACATGGTAATACAAACCATGATTTCAGTTTCTCTGGGTGGATCATATAATGCTTGACGTAAATTATAACTAAAATTCATAAAATTTGATGGTCCACATGTAGCAGCAGTATATCTCATAAATGACATTTCTCTACCTCCATCAGTGATTTTCATACCATAAGTATCCAATAATGATTGAGGAGCTGGAGCATCAATTACATAATTACCATTGACTAATCTTGCCTTTTTGATAGTTTTTGTATAGGTTAATTTTGGTTTGAAATCATCCTCTTCTTCTTCTTCAAGAGTTTCTGGATGAGTAGAAGTAGAAGTTCTTGCCTTTTGGGTATTTCTTCTCTTCATACTACCAGCACGTTTAATTGTTGTTCCTCTTCTAACAATTTCTTCTCCAGTATCGGAAAACAAAGATTCATCATCTCCAAATGGATCTAAATCATCATCATCATCAGCATCTTGTAAAGGATTAATCATATAATCATCCCCAGAAAACATGTTGGGACGTCCATATGTCAGTAATCTAACACTTTGTTCTTCTAAATCAAAATCATGTTCTTCATAAGGAATATTCCCGGGACTATATGCAATTGGAGGATATTCTGGTTCGGAATTAGGATCTCTAAAAGTGACGGTTTTGCCTCTTTTAGGTCCACCACGATTACCACCTGTTGCAGCAGGAGGTGGTGATAAGACTTGGGGTGTAAATGCGCCTGAATCAAATTGATTATCATTATAATAATCGAATTCATCAAAGTTTGAATAACTGGGAGTTTTTTGATGACGACTAGTACGAGCAACTCCAGGTGGTACTCCTCCACCTGGTACTCCTCTTCCATATTGATAACCATAAGCGTTTTGAGGTGTAATGAATGGATTGGCAGCATATACTGGTTGACCATAATAATCTATGTTGTTATAAGATGCTCTTCTTGAACTGAAACGATTGGCATTTGAATGATGTTGATGAGGTGGCAATGGAGCAGTGGCACCTCCTCCTCCTGAATACATGGAATGTCTGTGATTGGCAGGATTAGCACCAGGCATGGAAGAAGAAGAAGCAGCAATACCAGCAGCAGCAGTGGGGATAGTAGTAGAAGTAGTACCATCTGATGAACTATTATTACTATCAGTATTGATTAAATTGATTGTAGTTGTTGGAATTGTCTTTTCTAATTCATCACCAAATAAATCATCATCTTCATCATCTGAACCACTTCTAGAATCATATGGTTTCTCAGACATTATTATTTGTTATTATTGGTTGTATGTCTGTCTGATTGATTATATTCTTTCTCTTTAGTTTTCTCTTTTTATCAAAAGTATAGAAAGAATGGAATGAATGGAATGAATGAAAAGTTGTGTCTGTTGTAAGAAAGATGATGAACACTTTTCCCCCCTAAAACAAAATTTTACTATTTATTATTTTATAATAAATAACAATGTAAAATGTAAATGTGAGACAATGGGAATTTAAACTTTTTTTTTTTATTTATTCTAATAAAAATTTAATTTTAGATTTTGTGTCTTATCGTCTTTTATATAACCAGCTATATTGGAATAACCTTTCAATTGAGAAATAACTTTAAAAATAGAGAAAAACTGTAATAAAGTAATACTTAGCCACCTTTTATAAATTGTATAATAAAAGAAATAGAATATAATAAAATCTATTGGTGAGACTTTGTCCGTAAATTAATCATCGATCTTTTGCATAAGATGAAAATGTCTGTCAATTGTGTTTACACTTTATCCCAATTGGGAATTATCATTATGAAATTGATTTTATATTTTTTTTTTTTTGCAACCTGAATAAAAAATATTTTTACCCACACTTATTTCTAAATTTAGAAACTTTTTTTTCCCTTTCAACCTTGCAACTATTAATTAAATTAAATTCTCTAATCTTTCTTACAGTCACACATGCACTATAATTAAATAATAAGCTAAAAAAAGATTAAGAAAGGGGGATTTGATTAAATCTGTAAAAAATAATTAATTATACAATTCAGCCCTTTCCCCAGATTATTTATTCAAATGAATGACTACTAGTCTATCAATGATTAGTTGTACAAGGCTTTAAATCAATCTTTCAATTATAAATTAAGAAATACTGCAAATGTACAATTGGTAAAAAAATCTATTTAAAGTTAAATCTGTGTTCTATCTAAACGCTTTTCTAAATACCCCTTTTGCAGTTTACAAACCCAATTCATTTTTATGGTTTTATGGTTTGATGTGTAGAATAACACATCCCTTTTGATTATGGACCCCCCAACTTACTACCAATTGACAAAAGTAACATTGATAATGTTCAGTTGTTAGGTAAACATATTAAACAATACTTTTTATGTTTAATTCCCAACAGTTCTAAACATTTCAAATGATATCCATGTCCACACATAAAAAAGATTAATTCACAACTATGAAACACTTGTCTACTATCTTCCTCTTTCATTTGTTCAGTAACTAATAACAAATGACGTCTTTCTCGATCTTCCCATGCTAATATATGATCATCCATTATAGTTGAACTACCATTTCCACCCCACATCAATTTCCCACATGATGAACATATCTTAGCTTTAATATTCCATCCTCGTAATTTATTCCCCTTAATAAGTATTGTATTCTTATAAATATCCTTATTCAACATTCTTAATGATATCTTAAGCATTTCACTCTCATATGAATATGATATAAATACTTCTTGTAATATCCCTCTAATATTAGACAATGTAGCAATCTTAGATTCTTGAGAATATTCTTGTAAAAATCGATTAAAAATCACCAAGAATGATTTCTCCTTTTGATCACCAATATGAATCAGATTTAATTTATAATCACTTATTGTTCTAAAACAATCATGAATACATTTATTAATGAAATCATGAGTAGTTAATTTCTTAGTATTATTGGCCATTTCAACTAAATTATGAATCACATCTAACCACATCTTCTCATTTAATGAAAAATCAGATTCAATTAGTATGGTATATGTTTGAGGTAATTCACAAATATTAACAAGATATGAAAGTATTTGTTCAAATTTATCTCGAATGGATTGGTTGTCTTCTAATTTAGGCGCAATCTTCTTCATATAATCCAATATACTTGTTTCCGCTTCAAGATAGTCTCCCTTTAGCACTAACAAAGACGCCTGTGAGTCAACAAGTTCCTTGCTACGTAACACATCAATACATTTATTAAACTCATTCTCATCATCAATTAATATAGATTGCCAATTTTGAACAAACTGAAACACAGCAGGAGAATCAAACATCGCCAATACTTCAATATATTTCCCCACAAATGGAATATAATCACGACAAACCTTCTTCTTCCCATCAAACAATTCTTTCAAATATGCAAACTCCATCACATCATCATTCAATTCAAACACCTGGAAATGCAATTGAGGACAATATTTATCCACTAAACTCACAAAATTCCCAATATCCAACCTCACAAACACCATAAAATTATTCTTAATAACCAGTATTAAAACCAATCTATCATTCGCATTTCTCGATCCCAAAAATGATTGCTCAACCATTGTCAATAAAGAATCCCCTCCTGACAGACTTTCATATTCCTCCCGAATATTCTCATCATTCAGATTCTCTTCATTCAATTTCTTGATCCATATTTCCAACGCATTCGAATATTGTCCTTTTGATTTATATATCCCAATCAAAACATTATAATACTTCGCCAAAGTCAATTTCTCAATCAAGAAATCCTCACCAATATCAGGGGCATAATGGGGTAGGAGACTCAGTAATGCCAATTCACAATCTTGCAGATATTCCTCTCCTTCATTACATTCACATAAAGTATTAATAATCTTAGTCAAAATCGATTCGGAAAGTCGAATAAATTGGGAATATTTGGGATAATTCCTTCCAACAAAAATCGCCAACTGACATCGATCTTGATCCGATAGATCACGTTCATTGGAGTCATATAGGTCGATTAAAGCCTCGGTGAGATATTGTCGGTTTAATCGTTGTGAATCATCATTTAGGTGCGGGTCTTCGAAGAATTCATTCATGGTGGATAACATCTCGAATGAATTGATTTTTAGAAAGGTGTATAAATAAGGAAAAATCGTTGATTGTTTTATACATGGTACCAGGTGGCCATTTCGAGATATGGAAGTGTTTGAGAATAATATATCACATATTTTAGTTTTGGCTTCTGATTCATATTTAGGTTCAATGAATCGATCAGTAGGATATTGTCTTCCGGTTAAGATATATGACATATATGTGTATGCTTTTAGATATTCTTCTGATTGGATGAATTCTTCATCTGGTTGTAAAATATCACTAAGAAAATCAATCAAGGGGGTTTCATAATCATGTAATAGATAATTCCAAATATATATCAAACAATCACGAAGATTATATTGTTCACATAACTGGATCGTTAAATCAATATCCAAAGATTCGATATCCATCATACACAACATATCAGTCAATAACTCACCTTTATTAGCTTGAATATAATACTCCACCAATCTCTTCAACAATAATGCCGGCAATGCTTTAATCGAATTCGTCAAAATAAACGGCTCCAATACACCAAAAAACTCCTCATCCTCCTCTTCTCCTTCTTCTTCCAATTTCTCAAACACCTCTTCAAGAATATCAAACCCTTTCGGAGCAATCAAAGACACAATCCGGAAATATACCCCCAAATACTCCCTCCTCTCCTCCTTTCCACGGTCCCTACTAAACAAATATCCAATCGACTCCCGCATAATCTGTTCAAGATATGGCTCCACCAACCCCTGTCGCCTCGTTTGATCTTTATCCAACCCCACCAAGATCAATTTCCCATCACTGGCACTACCATTACTACTCCTCTCCATCGTTGTGTAGTATTCATATACTGTCTCCAACGCGTCGGCATAGTTTCCTTGGGAGAGTTTTGTGGATATGATGTCGGCCCAACTCATCTGTCTGCCCATGAATATTTTCCGCTCCGGGAGGAGTGTGAATGCCAACAAGCGGTTTTTAAAACTGACCAAACGGTGGATGTTTATTTGGATTGGATCTTGTCCGACTGGAGTGAGTGATTTCCCGTCATAATAGAATGAAATCATGGTAGTGGTTTGGGATTGTTGGCTGAGGAATATGGTTAATATATCACTAGAGATCCATTTTGTGGATTGGATCACGTCGGAAGGATGGGGGGAAATCCATCGTGAGGTTTTTTTGAATGGGAGTTTGGGCACTGATTTATCTTTATTTTTCAATTCATTGATTACGGATATGAAATTCGGGGGGAAGGATTGATTATTTAATTCGATTATGGTGAGGACATTATTCCAACTATATGCGATTTTTGCATTTTTGATAATTTTTCCATTCTGAGATTCCATACATGGACACCAACTTAAAGAACCAACTAGTCCGTTTGGCGTAATATTTACATGTTTCGATCTTCCGATTTTGAAGTGTTGGATAACATTGGGGATATGGGAATCATTTAAAGATATGGTTGATACAATTGTTAATAATTTCGGGGTTAATATTGCCAATATCCCCATTTTATCAGTTATCTGATGGGATGAACCTAATGGTAACATTTCACTTGTCAATATTGAAAATCGATCATCACCATTATCAGTGTTAGTGGATAAATTGGCATCATTTTTACCTAGGATTTTCAGACAGGAGAAATATTTATTCATGAATTTCTTGATTCCATTATGATAAAACACCAACCCGGATTCATCAGTACTGATCAATTGTGAATTCAGATCATTTATGAATGATATATTAGTAATCTTACAATCTATTATATGTCCTTGGAAATTCTTCGTAAATCTTCCTGAAAGTGATATGGGTTGAATGACAAAATATGGTAATATCGACGGTATCCCACCAGTACCCATAGTAACTTTCTTTGAATTCAAATCCCATAATCGTATTTGTCCATTCTTATAACCTGCTGCCAACATAGTAGAATCAGCTGAGAAGGACATACAACTAATCTCAACCTCCCCCGATCCACCACCACCACCACCACCCGCACTACTCCTCGTTCTTTCATGTCTCTCTTCCTCCTCCACTTCCACAATCAAAACACATTCGATTTCTTGATGATAATTAAAAATCACCACTCGTCCTTTCTCAGTCGCCAACCCCAAATGAATCGCCGTCGCAGCCATATCCACCACTGGGCCATGATTGTCCACAAACCCCATACTGGAGATTATATCCGATATATCAGTCGTTTCATTCCATTTAAACACCCCATGCAAAGGTTCTTGATCTATTGGCTGATGGTGGTTAAGGTTATTATTGACGAGGTTTAGGGTGCTGAATGATGATTTCTTATATGAACGTAATGCCAAACTTGTCTTTGTTCTTGATCGGTCGTCGAAATGAAGTTTTTTGATTGGAGATGATTGTCGTATTGAAGATGATGTTGATGATGATATAAAACTGGATGAAGAATGGTTGGTGAGTGATGTTGTTGAAAGATTGAATAAGCCATTGGTGTCGCCATTGGTTGATTTCTTGGATGGTGTAGTTGGTAGGCTTGATGCCATTGTGTTTTGTGTATGAGTTGATTATGGCAGATACTGTTGATTTAGGAAGTTGATAGTGTTGGAGATATTTATTTACAACCGTAGTGAGATTTTGTCTATTAAAGTTTAATAGTGGTGATAAAAAATGTGACAAATTATCTGTCGCGACAACTGTCACATTCGTGATATGCGTCAAAAGCGCAATATGAAAAGCATCTGAATGCCAAGCTAATAAGATGAAGTAACTTTCTCGGCTCCGACAAGGATTGATATTTGAAACCACTGGTGATAAACAAATCCTACAATGTTCAAGTATTAAAAAGTTATTTATGAAAATATCTCATTTATATTGTCATCTAATCTTAATCTATAAGTCTAAGCTATTCTAATTTTTGTTTATTATTGTAGAAGCTTTTCAGATAGCTATACAATTGATATAAAAGTATAATAAATAATGCCCCAAGTTGAATCAGTACTCCTCTTAATACTGTATCACAAGTTCTTTCCGATAAATCTCTAAATACGGCTTCCTTCTCCCGAATCAACACTTGTTCTCGTCTTATTTCATGTAATTTCCCATGTAATCTATATATCTGTCTCTTTATCGAATTCATTTCTCCTTTTCTACTTGAATCTAATAATTTCGGATCGGTATTCATTAATTGAATACCTATTCTTGCCAATTTAAATCTCAGATCTTTTAGCACATCTTGATGATGTTGTCCTCCATTTCCATTATTTCCATTATTCCCAAACCATAGTCCTCCTCCTCCTCCTCCTATGAAACTCTTAGGAGTTAGACAAATCCTATGTTGCCCTGTTTCTAGAGTATTAAATGAGAATTGTCCCATTGCTACCCCACGTTGATGAACAACGCGACTATTAGAATTGAATACTTCTTCAACATCAATAACTACCCCAATTTCTACTCTATCTATTGGCGGTCTATATGATTGGGTTATTTCATCAAATATCTCGAGTTTATATTTTCCAGTTAGGATTGTTTCTTTATGTAATTCATGATAAAAGCATTTTCGTGTGTTGGATTGAGTATAATAATAGATTAAACCATTGACTATTTGGATGTAGAATAATAAAATGAATCGTAGATTCATTGGGTGGGTTCCTCTGTTTGGTGGTTGGTTTTCAATTGGTATGTATGCGTGTCGTTGCCCTCTTTTTGGGTGTAGCTTAAATAAACTTTTCAGGATTTAAAGTAGGCTAATAGTTAAATAATAAAATGAGTGAATAATAATAATAATTGCTTTGATGGGTAACCTTCTAAATTTCCTAAATTCACTTGACTAACACCAACATCTAACTATCAATTGAGTATAATCTCTCAAACTAAAATGATATAGTTATAAGGAAGAAGGAGATCATCCAATGTTTCAAAAATTGATTTAGTTTATTTTACAGTTTATTTTTTTTTTTTGGTTAGCTTAAATTTGCGCCGCATTGTGTTCCTTTAAAAAAGAGAACAATAAGATTTAGTTACACCTGCAGGTAATTTAAATCACGTGCCCTGATATTGCTTTTATTATACGGATTTTCGCAGCCAATGTTTATCTCATGTGTAAATACATGTATTCCAGACCAAATATAATCAAATAATAGATTGAATCCAGGATATCATCATAGCCAAAAAAGAGACGGTCAAAATAGATAATCTTCTAATGGATAATGACTTTCTTCGGTTGATGAGATGTCTTCCCCCCCAAGAAGTAACCCTCAATGAATTGAATTTCTAAGAAAATGGATACAAAAATTTTTAACCCCCCACTAAACTTTTAGATACTGGTAACAGTATTGGCTTTCCGGACCAGTGTTTTCCCTATCAATTAACATTGACTACTTTTTTTTTTATATATTTATGAATTTATTGTCTATGATTTAATATCACACTCTAAGAAATTGAAACACATTATTACCTGTAAATCAAAAGAATCAATCAAACGAAAAAAAAAAATTTCACATTTTACACTACCTTTCATTAATTCTTCAACTTAATAGACTTAGAAC